AAAAAAAAAAAAAAAGAAAAAAAAGAAAAGAAAATGGGAGGGGGGAAGGAAGGATGGAGGAAAACAGGGAAAAGAAAAGTGAGATCCTGGAAGAGTGTTGTGGGCTTTTCCACTTGTTTCCTTTTTCTCCAAAGTGTCTATTTTTAGGACCTTTCCTTTCCAACTTGTTTCACCTATTTTGGTAAGCAAATTGGTGCCAAGAAACCTTGTTCAGGCTAGCAAGGGATGCAAAGTTCCTGGAGTATCTAAGAGTATCTAAGAGGACCCATACCCTGGAAAAACTAGGTTTTTTTCCCCCAACCTCAGAGTAGTTAGTTATAGAAGTTAGAGGGGCAGAATCAGTTACTTCTTCAACCTTTTCTTGCCCTTTTTCCTTCCTTTAAAGAGGTGTGAAGAGGTATGGCAGTCAAATAAACCTACTAGAAATGTCAGAGTACAGAGGGTTGTTATGCAGGAGCCTATTTCAGGTCTAATGTATTACTGCTACACTGAGGCTTTGAAGTGAATCAATTATGAGGAGTAGAACCAGGATAGGCAGATGGGACAGACTGAAGTGTGGGGCTCACAGGTAATGAGATAGACAAATAATCTCTTAGCTATCTTGTCCTTTTCTCTGGACCAATTATAATTAACTATGTAAACCCAATCTCTCTGTCTCTCTTTTTCTTTCTCACTCCCTCTCACACCCCTCACTTCCGAGTGTTTCACAAATATAAAGTCAACAGAACAGTGGTCAAAGTAAATCTTATAATCAAACTAAAAGCTCAGTTGCTTTTCTCCCTTTCCCTACTCAGCTTGTCTGCTCTTTCCCATTCACTGAGTAGCCCTCTTTTCTCCTTGATTTGAGGAGAGAATTCAGGCAAGGTCTAGATATTATTTCTATTGGTGATATTATCATGCTAGTGCCAAGATTAAAGTTTTAAAACTGGCTGAATGGATACTGAATTGAGAAGGGCAGAGAGCCCCTATTTTCCCATTTCTGCCCAGGTAGTGCCAATCAATAAGAGGCCACTAGCAATACCCCTTTGAAAGGAGGAGAGAGTATCTCTTTGATACTCTCTCTGGTGGAGCTGGGGTGTCAGGCTGCTGCAGCCCGAACAGGGTGAGTAAAGGGGGGTGGACTATGGAGATGAGCTTATTGCACAGAGCTCTACTTGTTAGAGATCTTGTCCAGATGGGCCAACTACACAAATCTGCCCTGTTGGAAGTCTCAAGAACAATGCCCTGGAGACAGCTACATAACTGACCAATACAGCCTGCCCAACTGGGACTCAGATCAGGGCATCAGCTGGTGCTGGGAACCAAAGAAACCAAAGTAACAACCAGCATAATAGGCAAAGGAACTCACAAAGCTACTCAGAGGCGATGCCAGGTGGAAGGTACTATCCCCCATAGGAGCCTCAAGGTGGGGAAGGGTGGTACACATAGAATCAGAATCAGGAATAAATGGCTTCCATTTTCCTTAACCTTGTCACATACAAGAGCAAGAGGAATGCCAGGTCTCACTGAGGCCATCTGACATAAAATGGTACACTCAATCACAGAATTCTTAAATTTAGACCCTTCTTAGCACAGAGACTTGGCAAGAAGTGATCCAAGAGGCTCATGTGGAGATAACTTCCATTTATCATCACTCTTCTAGGATTCAGTCCTCTGGAGAGCCACATTATTTCCTGCCTGAACCATATCTAAAATGATTTTAAGATTTAAAATAGCATTTTTACAGGGGGAATAACTCCCTACATGAAGTGTTACAAGTATTTTCATTAATTTATCATTAATATTTAATGTGAGTTACATATTTTATGCATGTTTTTCCAAAGAAATGACTATTTCTTTGGTTGTTGTTAAAGAGATCAGCACCTCCATCTTCCCCTCTGCTTGCTCTATTCTTTGGAAAATCAGTGTTCTGTCTTCCTGTTTCCACCTTAATACATTAGCAGAGTCTCCTGTCCTCCCAGAATTTACAGGCAAAGCAAAAAGAGCTTTGTCTGTGAAAGAAGTGTAGTGAATAAAATTTATTTTTTGACTTTCCCCCATAAGCATTTTCCTTATCTGTCACCAAAGAACAGGCCCTCTTCTATGTAAAATGCTAAGTTGACTTAAAGTTATTTTTTTCTTTTCACCAAGCTATGGTAATATCTAAACTTTTTCTAGAATCTGCGAATCTTTATATATATATATATATATATATATATATATATATATATATATATATATATATATATATATATATATATATATCTCCATCCTCACTTGCCTCTCTCCACTCTCAATTTAATATTATCAGTAGTTTATTTATTCTTATCTCATTTCTAGCTACCAAAATCTTATGTTTGACTTCACTATATTGGGATTAATAATCTTCTTAGACTGCTCTATTAATGTCAAGAAATCAATCAAGTGTGTAAACCATTCAGGAATTAGGAAGCCAAGTAGTTATATCATTGGTACAATGGAAGAAATATAGAACAACCTCTTTGAGGGAAGGTACTACATTTTCTACAACTTATTAGCCTACACAGCTTCTGGTATCTAGCAATTCTCAATATCCATATGTAGAATAAAAGCATGACCTCCAAATTGCTTTATTATATACATTTCTATTCATTTCTTTACATTAGTTTTCTGATTGCAGAAAAACAGTCCTAGAAAGGGAGTTTACAAAATCATGCAGAATTTACTTACTTACACACACACACACACACACACACACACACACACACAGAGCCCATGTCTTTGGGTAGAAGAGAAAGTTAAGACAGAAAAACCTTATAAATTGCATCACTGAATTAAGAATCACACTGTTCTGATTAAACATTAACAATAATCCATATATGAAGACTAGTCTTAAACTTATTTCAAAAACCAATCACCAGATGAAACCTGCTAGTGACAAGTGTATACAGTAGTGAGGATTTTAGGAGTTTAGCAGTATAACCATCTGTCACTAACCCTACTCCACAATCTGTTCCTGCTAGGAAGACAGTCCTCTCTGAAGGGACAGCAAGAAGGCTGTTCTGCCCAGACTGCCACTCTCTGTTTTGACACATTTCACAACTAGAATTATGTTTATATTCTACAAATACAGGCTGATGGCATCAGAAGAGTTTGCTAGCAAACAGGAGGAGGAAGAAGGGTACCTGAGCCACTGTACCCTTCCTCTCTCCATGGAAGAATGGCGAAGTCGGCTGTCAAGAAAACACCTGAATAAGTCATATAAGAATCAACAACTGCCATCCTCCTGAGTAGCTCTGATTTTGCAGCCTTCGCCTTTACCATGAGGCTTTCTATAAATCCCATGTTGTGTGGTGCATTACAAAAGAAGTATATGCCTTCAGTATCAGTTCCTTAGAATAAGGGAAAATTCTTACCAGCACCTAAATTCCAAGAAATGTTTCCTTCCAGAGCTGGATTTAGAAAAATAAACACATATTATCTGTTTTATAGCTTCAATTCACAACTGTGTTAAGACAGTGTGGAGGCTTTGGTACAAGACAAAGCCTGCATTTGAATTAAATGCTAGCCCTTATGAGGTACAGGCTCCTGGAAAAATTAAGAACCTAATTCTTCACCTCCCTTAAGAACCTAAGTTCCCTCATTTCAAGGGCCATTTGAAGGCTCAAAGACCCAGCATGCAATAAATCTGCAGCCTTAAGCAAATTATTACTCTTCTGTGCTTTAGTTTTCACATCTGCCAAATGAAAGTAATAACAGAAGCTACCTCAAAGGGTTGCTGTGTAACTAAATTAGATAATACTGGTGAGGTGCCTAACTCAGAACTCCAAACATAGCAGGTGCTCAATACAAATTAGCTATTACATGAGAAAACTGCATCGTCAGAG